CCATCTTGCAATTTTGCATTTCAGAAACAGGTGGGTTGCGTCTTCTTCCTCTTCTTGACACAGGTTGCACTTGCCATCTCCCATAATTGAGCCAAGTCCTCTTAACAGCAAGTTGGATTTTGTTGGGAGTCTATTGAGCAGCAGTTGCCAGTTGAAAGCTGAAATCTTGTTTGGTAGGATGGGGTTCCAAACTCTCTTGAAGACTCTTTCTTGGTTAAGGCACCTCGGCACCTTTGTCAAGAGTGAGTACGCTGATGTGGTTGAATAATAGGAGTCCTTGCTATGTATCCACTCCCATTCATCAGGCCGGCCCGGGGATATCTTCACTCCTTCTATCAGCTTGCTGAGTTCTATTGCCACTTCTTCTTCCCTTTCGAGCAGCTTACTTCTCCATGTATGATTCCATTTCCAAGTACCATTGCACATAGATCCCATTTGGTAGCATTCCTTCTCCTTCCCTGCAGATAATAGATACAACCTTGGGAATCTATTGGCTAGACAACACTCCCCACACCACTCATCCCACCAAAAGCTCACGTCCTTCCCTTCTCTTATCTTCAATCTAAAACCCTCTGTTAACCACCCTGAACTTTCCCCTTCTACTTTGTTAATCCCTCTAACATCTCTCCACCATAAAGAGCTAGCTCCTGCCCCGTTCCTTATCCAGTCCTTCCAGTGCCCCCTTCCCTCACTATACTTGCTTGCAATAACTCTCCTCCATAATCCTTCCTCTATTGCTACTAACCTCCCCCACCATTTCCCCATCAATGACAAGTTAAAATACCCTAGATCTCTCACTCCCAACCCACCATAGTCTTTCGGCGTGCATACCTTCTTCCAATTGACCCAATTAATTTTTTTCTTTTCTCCCTCCCCTCCCCATAAGAAACTCTTCCGAATTCTATCAATAGCTTTGAGAGTACCTTTTGGGATTAGGTAAACCGACATTAGAAACACCGGCAAACTGGTCAACACCGAATTAATGAGCGTGATCCGACCCCCGAGGGAAAGATGCCGGCCCTTCCATCTTGTCAATTTCTTTTTGAAGGAGTCCAACAAGGGCTGCCACATAGAGATCCTTCTATGGTTTCCCCCGATGGGAATTCCCAGATATTTAAATGGTAATATCCCTTCCTTGCAGCATAATATATAGGCCATTTTGCTTACCCAGCCATCTTCAACATTGATACCCATCAATTGGCTCTTTTGAAAATTAATTTTCAGACCAGAGAGTAGCTCAAAAGACCTCATTATGCTTTTAATCACCATGATGTTATCCTCTGTTGCTTCCCCGAAAAAGATAGTATCATCTGCGAATTGGAGATGGGTAACCATCACCGCGTCCTTGCCAACTGTCACGCCCTTGTATAATTCTTTTTCAACTGCAGAGGATGTCAAACCATTCAACCCTTCCGCTACAATCAGGAAAAGGAAAGGAGATAAAGGATCTCCTTGGCGGAGTCCCTTGCTAACTGGAAATTGTCTTGAAGGGCTTCCATTGACCAGAACTGAGACCATGCTTGATTGTAGACACTCAAGTATCCACCCTCTCCATGTACAGCAGAAGCCCATCCTCATCAGCATGTAGTCTAGGAAATCCCAACTCACCTTATCGTATGCTTTTTCAAAATCGACCTTGAAAAGGAAGCTTCTCTTCTTTTTCCTCTTTGCCTCATCAATCACTTCATTAGCAATAACCACTCCATCAACCAGCTGCCTACCTTTAATGAATGCCATTTGTTGCTCCCCGATGACTTTGTCCAGAACTTTCCGGAGGCGGTTTGCTAACAGCTTCGCAATTATCTTATACATAACTCCAATAAGAGAAATAGGCCTGTATTCTTCAATCCTTTGGGGATTTTCCACCTTTGGAATTAGAGTTATGAAAGAGGCATTTGATCCTCTTACAAGCCTACCTTGTTCCTAGAACTCTTTGATAAAACCAATAATCTCAGATTTTATATCTTCCCACATGCTCTTCACAAATTTGAAATTGAATCCATCCAGGCCTGGGGACTTCGACGATTCACAGTCCCATACTGCATTTTTGATTTCTTCTTCGGAGAATGATGCCGTAAGGGAAGCATTATCTGCCCTATCAATCTGCTTGAAGCTGATACCATCTAGCTTAGGCCTCTGCCACTTATCTTCTGAAAACAGCTGCTCAAAGTAACTCGCCACATTTTCTTTAATTTCACCCACTCCCTTATACTGCTCTCCCTTAATCTGTATGCTATTGATTTCGCTTTTTCTCCATCTTCCTTTCACACACCTATGGAAAAATTTGGTGTTTGCATCACCATCCTTTAACCACATCGCTCTGGATTTTTGCTGCCACATATTCTCTTTTAATTTGAGGTTGTTCCACAACTGAAGAAAACTGCTTCTTCTCATTTCAATTTCGATTGGTGACAATTGGACATACTCTCCTCTCTCGTCCAGTTGAGCTATCACACTCTCAGCCTCCATTATTTTCTTGTCCACCTCCAACACAACCTTTCTGCTCCACTCTTTTAGAGCTTTCTTCGTACTTTTTAGCTTCTCCTTAAGCCTAAATCCATACCATCCTTCCACTGCCGAAGAAATCCGTGTTTTTCTAATCAGCTCCTTGCATCCAGGATCCTGCAGCCAGGCATCAAAAAATTTGAAAGGCTTAGGTCCCCAGTCCATCCGCTCATTCTTCAATAAAACGGGGCAATGGTCTGAAACTGATCTTTTCAAACCCCACTGTTTAACATCAGGCCATCTCAACAGCCAATCCTCAGAAACCAAGAATCTGTCAATCTTGCTCATATGTTGGCCATTAGAATTGTACCAGGTGAATTTCCTCCCTACCAACGGCAAATCAACCAACCCAGATTCATTGATGAAACTATCAAATTCTTTCATTTCTCTGGACATCCCTTTGCAACCGCCCCGTTCCCCTGTGCTCTGGACAGCATTAAAATCCCCCCCTAGGCACCAGTTGCCTTTCTTATTTGAGATCAAATCCTGCAACTCCTTCCAAAGAGCTCTCTTTCCAGACAAATCACATGGAGAATAGATGTTCACAATGTAAACCGGTACACCCTCTTCCCCCCACGTCCCCGACACCCCAATAAAATGATCCCCCTCTATCACCTCATTCATCTTGAATGTTTTATTATTCCACACACATAGCAATCCACCCGACAAACCAACAGAAGGCTTAGCTATCCATTCAAAATCCTCTGTCCCCCACACCCTCCTACACAACTTCTTGTCTACGACCTCCATTTTGGTTTCCTGAACAGCTAAAAAATCCACTTTCTCCCTCACAACTATGTCCCTGATGTGCCTTCGTTTCCCAGCCCCTCCTAGTCCTCTAATATTAAGATACTTACTTATATTTAATGACTTATATTATACAATTTGAATTACATGACACTTTTCATGCAAAAAAAATATAAGTTTTCTTCACTTTGTACCACTGTAGTGGAAAAGAAAAGGGATAATATTGATTTTAAAAAGGTATTTTAATTTCCTCATCCTTGAAAATTTTAGGACAACTCGCCTAAAAGAGATAGAGTTATACAAGTGCACCATTGCAGCTAAGGACAGAACTCAATAACTAGTCCTTTTGGTGCTTGACTATGAAGGTGTGTCCTGCACACGCTACAAACAACACCTTTGCTGTTAAATAGAAGAAAAACAAGCAAGTTAAATAGAGTTGTGCAAAACAAAGAGTGCTTCATCCAAAAAGAAGCAATGGCAATTGTTCCGACCTGCTTGGATCTGTCTCTTTGATATTATCTTGCAATAACAATCTATATTTCCCAACCCTCTCTTCCTTGATCCAATTGTCGGAAAAAGAATGACATTTCAAGATTATGTAGAAGTCAGCATTACTAACAGCATAGGATAACCCTACATCAAGATTCGGAGTACAGCTAGACCAACTGCAGATATGGAGACAAGGGTACCAATGCAGTATTTGATGACATCATATTTTGCGGCTTCCATTTGGGCTCTTAATGCATGAATTTCCTGTGGACGGTTCCAAAGGGGCAAGTTTAATACCAGAAGACAGCAAACTAAACGGAAGATTTCATACTAACTCATCAAAGCTCACCCGATCTAACTTGTTTGTTAGGTTGGTAGTTTCTGCATTCTGATTAGCTAGTTCATCACGTATACGCCTAAAAACCATTTAAAGAGTTGAATGATGAAACTGGGCATTTAATCAAAGTGAAAGAAGTAACATCCTGGAAAACAAGATACTGAAAATTGAATCTCTCTACCCTCTTTGAAGATTCAAATCCAGGCGCTGTCCAGCTGTGACCTTGTCAATTTCATACCTGTTTCAGAGTATAGTTTTCTTAATTAGAGAACATCATGGCATCAAATTTTTTAAGATGAAAAGACCTGCACTATGCTCCACAAAACATACCTCAACTCAATGCGCATTTTCTCTATGTCACCTCGAAGTTTTTCAGTTTCCCGTTGCAACATAGAAAAATGATGCTCCTGTATATAAAGGGAGCGTTTATAAAAGGTGAACATGCTCGGCCTAAATATTTGCACTTAGGAAAATGAAGTCCAACATTTACATGAAAACGGATACCCAGGGAAAAAAAAAACCCAACAACAACTAGTTGCTCTCAAATGATTGGGAAGAAAAAGAGCCAATATTGCAACAACAGCATGACCTTTTTATGGGCCAGCATAGCAACATCAATAATAACAGCATGACATGATTTGAAGAAGCAGCCAATAGTTTTGGAATAGACTTCAGATGTTAAATATTTTCACTAGTAGAGGACCAAAATAGCAACAGAACCAGATTGAGGAAGGTTGATACCAGAAAGAAATCCGACAAATTTAGATATATATCTTAAGAAAAAGGATTTGACCTAGCTGCCTGAGCTTTCGTAAACTTAAACCAAACTCTAAAACATCAACCTTATCACCAAACACAATATGAATATCACTAGGGACAGACAAGATCAATATGCATACACATCAGAAAGATTTCTTAAGGCTTAAACTTGCAGTTAAAGCCCTGAATACGGTGCACAAAAGTAACAAAGAATATTCAAGAATAAAGTGGTAAAGAAAAAAAATAAGGGATCCACTTAATAACATAGAGTGGGGATGAAATGAGGAATAGATTAAGTATATAATACTAGGGATGCATAGGAGGCCTAGGAGCAAGAGTTACAGTCAAAAAGACCTCATTCTATTGCTTTCAAAAGGATGCATCTTGGGATTTCCACTGACAATAAGGCACTCAATCAATTGCGTAAGTCCCTGCCCCCACCAACAATAGACTGACTAGTTTGTAGGAAAAGAAGCTAGGTAACAAATATGGACCCAAAAAAATACAATTTATTGGCCAAGTGACGAAAAGTATTGTAGACGTTCAAAGGCATTTAAATACGTAGTAATGACCGTCTAGAGTTCTCAACCAGCAAGCTCCTTTACACATATTCCTTATTAGGGTGTCGACACCAAACCGAAGAACTAAGCCCCAAATCTCCGACACGAACATGGTGTCGACACATAATATAGGTGTCGACACGACACATAATATAGGTGTCGACACCGAACGGAAGGGCTATTTAAATTACTCTTTGCCTTTCAAACTAAGATGTTTATGAGTTTAGGTATCCCCTTGTGCTCCGTATCAATAAATATTACTTCTGCTTTTTCAAAAAAAAAAAACACTCGCAAGCATAATACACCAAACTGCCAAAACTTCCTTTTGTATAATTTAGTAGCACAGGTTTGGAGGCCATTCCACAGCCGAATTCCTGTTTCAACTTTGGTAATGATTATTTTGTTTCCCTCATAATCAAGAATCAAGTCACTCTATATAAAAAGTTCGAAACAAGTCCACGTTAACTTTCAGCAATAATGCTATTAAAAACTAAATACAGATGCAATAATTTAACGAAAAGTTAGCCACTTTAACAGCTCAAGCTCACAGTTATAACCCTACAAATATAAATGAATCCATCGAATGTTTTAAACGGACAAAACAGAAATCAGTAAGTACCTGAGAATTTTTTACTTGGGATTTAATCTTTGAGAGATTACCTTCTTTGAAGCATCTCGGTCTACCCAAAAAAAGAAAAAAGAAAAAAAAGAAAACACACAAGCAAATTAATAACCACATTCCAGATAACCATAATTTATTGTGAAGTCCACAAAACAGTTGGTCGAACGGTTGGTGTGCAACATAATGAATGACATATTGCAACAAAATTAAATGAAATTAATTAAAAGCATTGTTCAAAATCATTGCCTTCTGTATTTCGCCCTTGGAGACAAATGAATGTGACACATTTTCTAAGCTGTCATTTAGTACTTCAGTAATAGCAGCTGCAATTGCCTCTGCCTGTTTTGATGGAAGACCTTGCGCTCACCTAAACACAAAACAACTCCAAATCAACAAGAGCATTCGAGTTTTTGTTTTTTTCATTTTTTTTAAAACATATTCTCTTATCCTAAACTATCACCGAACACATTTTCGTAAAAAAGACATTGTTTGGTTGCAGAGGAAACAATGGAAATTTAAGGGAAGCCAAGCAACCTTTTATCACCGGCACTCAAATCGGCCGGATAAATTAAAAGCATCAACTCATAGAAAAGAAAAGGATCGTGTTGCTTTTCTTCAGTCGTCTATTTTCTCAGCAGCCGAACAAAAAATAAGGGCAAGTGAAAGTTGAAAAAGATGAAGGAAAAGATAGCAGAGCCAGAGTGTCAACGAGGAATGCGCATCCTCCGGTAGGTTTGACGAGCTGAGAAATCTGGCGGTGGTGAAATCTCTACGCAAGCGAGCTCGAATATGAATTAAACCCTAACTGAAGTCCGCGCTTGCAAGCAGCCAGCGGAATCGGAAAATCTTGTTTTCGAACAGAAATCAGGGAATAACGACAAAAGGAATTGTTAGGAGAAAAGAGAGGATTGGGTGTTCATTTTGGCGGCAGAGAAATAGACAGCAAAAATTGAGGCAAAAGCCAACTTTTTCACCGTCTTATTTTTAATCCGTCACCTTATTTTATAATACTTTTGATTTATTTCATTATTTATACAAATTAAAAAAATAATATTTATTGCACCTGGTCTTTGCGGCCTAGTGACAATAGTCACCCCGGTGCATTTTCCCCTCTCCGGATTGGGTTCGAAACCCGCCCCTTGTAAATATGTTAAAAAAATAATAATAATAATAATATTTACTTAATATCAAATTATAATATTTTATTAATTTTATTAATTAATTACTAATAAAATTGATTTTTAATATTTCATTAATAAAATTAATAAATTAAATTAAATTTAAATTTCATATTTTTTATAACAAAATTTTAATAATTAACTAATATGATTAATAATTAATTAATAAAACATTAAATAATAATAATTTTTTAAAATTCGTATAAATAAAAATTTTAAATATTATAATATAAAATAAAAAATTAAAATTTATAAATTTATTAAAGTAAAAAATTAAAAATGAATATATACCAAAAATTAATGTCTAATAATGCGCACGAAATCTCGTTATGAGAATGAGAGGGGAAGAGAAGGCGTAAAAAGGCGAATTTCGAGGGTTGGTTTGCTAGGAAATTTTCGCCTTAAATTTTCGTTTTTGTTGGAGCATTTTTTTTTTTTACAGCGACAATATAATTACAATGATAGGTAGATTGTGAGATTACAATTATTAAGTGTCAACCGCATAAATAATTAAATAACAGTAAATTTGGTGCGTGACTCATATGAGTAATATATAAATATTTCACCCATGCTACTAAAAATTAAATTCTCCTGTTCTTTCATTTCCCTTTCCCTTCCCCTAATTCTTGCAGTACGAAAAAAAATTAATAATAATTTTTTAATAAAAATAAAAAATTTTAAATTTAATTATATATAAATGAAAGAGGTCAAGAGATGGTGGAAAAATTTTAGTGTGTAATTCATATTAAAAAAATTCGAAAGTGTACGATAACGTCATCACCTTCTACATAATGTTTAATTGAGGTCACTAATTTAGATTTTCTTCAATAAGGTAGGTTACAAGCAACTCGCAATTTTCAAATAAGATCTAGAAAAATTTTATTCAATCCATTAACCTCAATTTCTCCCTCTCTCCTACAGGGCATGCCATCTCGACCTATTTTGTTGAAATGTTTACTTGGATTGTCTTGAGATTGTTTATCTGCAGAAAATAGCTAAATCTCACAAGAGATGTCATACTACAAAAAAGGGTTTTTACATGTATGAAGGCATCAAAAGAACATTACTGTTGGAATTCAGGAAAATAGGATTACTGTACACAGTCGGCTCTACTGCTCTAAGTTGGCAAAAATTTAAGTGTGCAGATAATCGCATTGAGCCCCTTTTTTGCAGTGCCCATGTTTATGGTATTGGCACACTCTCTGTGCTTTATTAAAGGGAGGCCTGGAAGAACCTCCTCCGGTGCCGAATGATGGCTGTCGATTGTAAGGTTTAGCTCCACCATATCCAGAATCTCCACCCTGGGAGCCCCTATCGCCATTAGGATTCTGTTCATTTCCCCACATTGCTGTATTCCCTGGGTTCTGGGGTGCTGCCCAACCAGGATTAGCATTTCCTAGTGCTGCCCCTTGACCAGGTGCAGCAACCCATCCTGAACCTGCATTACCGAACAGTGGAGCTTGACCGGTTGGTACCCACCCTGGCATTGTGTTTCCTGGCGCAACCCAACCTGAATTTACACTTGTAGGCATTTGCCCTTGCACTGGTGCAGCCCAGCCTGGGTTTGCATTTACAGGAGCTGACCCTTGATTGCCAGCTCCCCAGTTAACATTTGTATTCATGGGTACAGGTGCCCCCCATCCCATATTTGGGTTTCCTGGCATTGGCCCCCAACCAGGGTTCTGATTCCCAGCCACTGGTCTTGGAGCACCATTTTGGTTATCTGCAGCACCAATGCCCCAAGACAGGTTGGGCAGAGTAGGAGGCTGGACATTTGGCTGACCTTGAACTGGAGGCCTCCAAGAATCAGATGCAGGCAACCCCATTTGTCCTGGAATGGGGAAACTCCCAACTGGATTTCCCGTGCCAACAGATGCAGAAGAATTGTGGCCAGAAGATGAAGCATTGTTCCAGTTACCATATGCAACAGGCTGAGCAGGCATAGAAAGTGAAGTATTGGGATCTAGCTTTTGAGACGAAGCACTGCCCCATGCTTGAACTGCAGCTGCTGGTACAGAGCTTGGAGCAACCATATCTGGTCTTGAAACTGAGCCGGAACCCCATCTATGAGTTTCAAGAGGAGTATGACTACTCACAGGTTGAACCAAGTTTTGAAGAGATGCACCTGCATTTCTCACATCATCAGCACCTGAATTAATAGAGGTTTGAACATTGACCAGCATCCTTTGTGATTCACTTGACACCATCAATTGTGAATGCATTTGATGAGCATTTGCAGAGCTCAACAGCATACTTGTTTCAGGCTTAGGTGCTGGACTCCCACTCTCTGAAAACCCTACAGCATGAGGTTGCAAACCAGTATCTCCTCGGAATAGATTGGCTACAGAAAGAGAACCTGAAGGCTGAACGGATTTAGGTGACAATTTACTTTCCAAGGCTTGACCCCTTGTCACAGCTGTAGCAGGTTGGTTTGGAGTGGGAGAGGGAAGATTGGTTTCAGAACCCCAAGCATCTTGAGAATGCTTTGGGACCTCAAGTGAAGATGGAGCAGCACGGCCTGTAGAATGGACTTCCGGTTGAGATTTCCAGCTTTCTCCAGCTGATTGGCCTAAAGAACCCACAGTGCGATGTGGACTCCAAGCTGCATAATTTTGATCAAACTTCAATCCCTCACCAGCTTGATCCTCAATTCCTTGTTGCAACGGTGCATGAAGAAGGTTCCCAGAATAAGAAGCCATTTGAGCCTTTGAAAAGATGTCAGTCACCAATGCAGTGTCCTGTTGAAACTTTCCAGCCAATGCATCAGTTAGAGGTATAGAGTCATCTTGCATCTCAGTTTTCCTCCAAATTCTCAAATCTACAGGAAAATACCCATTTTTATTCCATTTACGCAGCTGCACCATTGAAAATGGTCCTTGAATCTTTCCTGACGGATCTTGATAATGCCACATTTTCTCTGTTTCATTAATTTGGCCAGCAGTTGTTGCTCCAGAAGGAGTTGCAGGTGAAACTTCTGGCAAAATCTTAGAAGATGGTTCTGGCATTACCATAGAGTGGGTATTCCTAGCACCAGTCTCCAAATTTAGTGGAGTTTTTGGCTTATCCCAACTGTTTGGTTGTTTTGTTTCTCTGTCTTGTCCTAAAATCCATAAATTTTCATTCCCCATCTCAACAGCTCCAACAGAATCATCCTTGCTCGAGATACCTTTACTAGAGAGGTTTCTGCTTAATTCTCTATTTGTGCTAGGGTAATTTCTTGTCCCACTCCAAGAATCACTTGAACCAAAACCTCCTTTCTGAGGAGAAACTGCTTCCCTCCCTCTCCTGCTAAAGCTACTGCCCCTTGGCCTCATATAGCTATCTGCATATACCAGAAGAAATTTCAAATTAACAAAGAAGCAAGATATAATCAATAAGATCAAGTTTGAAAGTATTGCAAGAAAAGAAAGAGACCATTTTTCCTATTGTCTGTTTCATCTTCATCTTCTTCAGACTCATAACTTGGATCCATATTTGGGTCAGCATTTATTTCTGGAATCTCCTCCAGTCTGCGTTGACGCTCCTCTGGAGTCTTTAGTAGCTGCAATTTCTCCACACATTCCCTAAGCGTAAACACAGGCTAAGGAACTTTAAATGTTAAGAGTTGTATACCACATAACAAATTGGGTCCATACAGGATAGTTTTTTGCACATTCTTTGTAAGTTCACAATATTGTATCTTTTAAAAGTTCTTTTTCATTTTCTCTAACAGAAAAAGATAGTGATGAGAATTTAGAACAAAATAATAAATTATTTTCCAGATTCTCCAGTCACATTTGAAGTTATGGGGTCATAAAGATCAAAGAGTCATTACCCAGCTAAGCATTCTTAAAGGACTTGCATCCAGCCAAGCCTTTACATCAACTAAAAGAAAAATGCAACATGCAATAAGCAAAGGATATTCTTTTTTACGTCCTTTTTCACTGGCTCGATCACGGAGATGGCTTAGACGGACTATCTCAGATTCCAACCACTGCATTAGCATTAAAAAAAAAATCAGAAATGAGATATACTAGGGCAGCTGATAATAAACATTAATACATCAGCTATGTAATCAACAAGTGGTTAGACTAGTTAATACCCACTAATTTAAAAACCTTGATTTAGAGTCAAGGTCAGAGGTTCAAACTCCTGAAATTCCAGGCAGTTAACTTCCAAAGTACCAAAAAATTACAAAAATCAATTATCTGACTTATACACGTCCATCACAGTGTTAATAACTTTAATTTATCATCAACAATCAAGAAATGACATATAAAAAGAAAGTAAAAATTTCTATAAAATCTCAAAAGGTACTCTTCTTCATTTCAACTAATTTTGAATAAATTAGTTGGATGCAGCATAGTAAAAGCAACTTTTGACAGAAATTTTAATTTTTAAACACAAGTGACAAAGCACTGTTACGTATCATCTCAAACCTACAGATTCAAAGTAGGCAAAAGAAAACTTCCTTTTATGTTTCCCTGCTCCCAGACCCAGAGAAATCAAATAAGAATCTTTGTAGACAAAAAAATAAAAACATGGTAAAAGGAGTAATGGAGTTTCACCCTTAGAAGCATTTTAACTAGAAATCAGAATGTCAATCATCAGAAATAAATTTGATAATGAAGCATATAGTCCAGGCACCATATTCTTCTAGCTTCAGCCATACTTTCCAATCTAACATAGCAAGCTACAACTAATATTACCACAATTATAGCAAGCCTAACTAATATTATATCTGTTTTCTTGTTAAGGACATGCAATCACTTATTTTAATTTCATTAGTAACTATGGGGAGCAAAAGAACAATTGAAGAAGATCAATAGATATTCACTCAGGAATTGCAAAATCAAAACTTTGTTTCATTAGAAAAGATATATATAATAACAATAACTCACAAAACACTTCAATCTTCGAATAGAAAAACTTAAAAAACTCACAAGAAACTCACATCTTTGACCCTGACAGGCTGGAGAGTCATGGCTTTTTCCTGAATGTCACCCTACATGCATCAAGCAATAAATCAATCTTTTAAGGACAAAGGAAAATGAAAACACAAAATCAATATTATGTGTTATAATCAAAATGCAAATTACCACAGTCAACCGGCCTATCAGTCCACACTTTATACTCTGGCGGAGACGCTTGCATTCATCCTAGACAATGTAAAGAAAATGCTTCAACCATAAATAAGATCAAGATATAACAGAAAGAGCATAAATCTTGATCCAGAAAAATCAAAAGATAAAAAAAATGAGCAATCAAATGTCAGTAACTGCAGCCATAAAAATGTTCCAAACTCTGCCCCGATTGTCTGAAAGAGCATGCCTTTCACAAGTTAACACATTCAAGAAAAGTAGAGATTGCAAAGTGGAGAGATAACATGCATTAATTCTGCTGCAGGTAGTTACCTCAGTGAACTCCTGGTTTGATATTATATCAATCGAAATGACTTCTGACTTGTTCAAATTTAATATCTCTAGCAAAAAGTCAGTTGTTTTTTTCCCAATTCTATATGGCTCAGCTATTTTGTTTGTACCTGCACTCAACATCATTTTCAGACTTCATCAACTTACAATGTTTTGTCATTCAGGCAAAAACAATGTAAAAGATCAGATGATCATCCAAGTACATACCAACAACTTGCACAAGTCTATACAAGTCTTGCTTTTGACCAGCACCAGAAATTCTTATTCTCACAAAAGCACCAACAACTTTTTCGTTGAAGGTTTCTGTATCTTCAAGAAGATCCTCCACCAAATTGCGCCGTAAGTAAATTAGATTAATGTTGTGCATGTCAATGGCTGCGTAATCATCCAGATTAGATTGAGGTCCCCTATTGCCTTTTTTACGTGTTTTGCGTTTCTTATCTTTGCTAGCCTTAATCATGGCATCAGAGTTCCAATCAGCATCCAATTGATTAGATTCACCATCAACAACAGTGCCTTGAAGATCATCCATATGAGAATCCTCTTTTGTGAAAAAAATGTGACGATCTAGAAGGTTTAACATTTCAATATGCCCCACTCTGGGTTTCCCAAACAAATTTTTGAGCCTCAAATCACAAATGACATAAGACTTATTACGACGATCACGGAGTTCATGCTTTTTTATGTAATCCAGTATAAGTTGATTCAGTTCTATTCTAGATAAAACAGATTTGTCACCATTTCTCATGTGCATAACCACATCCAGGAGCTCTTTTGAAGCCCACTCATCATTTTCACCTACAGATGCTCCTTCGTCACTAACAGCTGTAATTGTGCTTGGTGAATCACGCTCCCTGGCATGAGACTTTGATTGACTCCTTGTCTTTCTTCTTCTGGAAACAGTCACTTCAGCATTAGAACCATCTGAACCAGATCCTCTGTCATTATTAGCACCATCAGGTTCATGTGGCAGTTCTTGCTTTGAATCTTGTAATTCAGATCCTTTGAAAAGGTTTTTAGCTTTAGCAAGTTCATCAGAAGTAATAGATAATCGTCTTTTTAAATCAATCCAATAATCCTTGAAGAGATACTCCCAGCTACTCTTATCATCAAAATCTACTTGTGCCTGTAAAAGCAATGGGAAACTAAAATGAGTAAAGAAACAGTACAAAAAAATTTTAATACTTACAAGTACGCAGAAAAGAGTTGTTCTTCAAAATGAACTCTAGTAAGAAAGCCATGAACTTCCCTGGTCACTAGATGTAGAAACTACATCATTATATTATTATTTTTTTTTTTTTTTATCGGCACATCATTATATTATTGGATTGAATTAAGGGCTTTTCTAACCTCTGCCCTTAGGAGCCTTGAAAAAAATAAAAAGTAACATTTAATTTATCAACTATCTAATTAAATTTATTCACATGGCATTGACTCTAAAATTAATGTTTACTTTTACATTTTTTTATACAAATTTATTACAAAAAGATACTCTTAACCTGTGCCCTATGAAAAATCCTTGAATTAAATGGAATGAATGCATGTCTCATACAGTTCTTATTCTGCTGCTCATAAGGTAGCTTACCCAAACTTTTTCAACTTAAGTATTTTCATCCATTTCTGATTTGTGATAAAATAACTTATTATACCCCATCTTCATAGCCTTAAATGTTAGTGTGAAGGAAGACAGAATGCAGAAATAATGATTGAAAAAAAAAAAGATTAACCAAAAACAGAAGGAACAGAGGGAGTGAGATTGGTGCACATACCATTTCTTTGCTTCCCTGCTGATTCCTTTCAATCAATGTCACATAATTCCTGCATGATTCGCAGAAGCCTTTGTTACCCCTAACAGAAAAGAAAACCGCATCTTTGATGCATCCTTTGCACAAGGAAAATGTACATGTGTAACACATGTAATAGGAATTCTTCTTGCAGTTGCTGCACAGATGCCAACCTAAATGAAGGAAATGGAAATACTAAAGTTAAAGAAAGATAACACAAGGTAACAGGTAATTTTGAAAATGAGAAACTATATATATATATATAGAATTTCTTATAAACAGTGAACAAGAACCTCCAGTAAAAAAGAAAAGAAAAGAAAAAAAGAAGACTGTAGTTAAATTAAGAAGTATTGTCCAATACATCCAACATAGACAACAAGCAAATAGTAACATGAGTACATTAGAAATAAAAAAATAAATGTAGTAACTTGAGTATGGGCAAGAACTACAAGAAAATTCATGAATGCAATTCTTAACTGGATTCATAAGCCAGGGAATTCAAGTTGCAAAACATTGTGCCTAAAACAAATATACCATAAAGTTAATCACATCTGTGTTTTTCAGGTGACCAAGTTTGCAAATTAACATTAGACAGGAGAGCTCCTTTTTTGATCCCTTCTACAATTTCCTTTTATTTCTATCACACAGATAATGCTCCCTATTTCTTGTACAAAAATACTATAAATTTCTAGGCTTCCTCTAGGAAAGGAACACTGTTTAAGGCTACAAAAGGAATCAAAATCTTTCTGAGAAACTGAGAAAGCATAGGACATTAATTGAAAGTATACTCTGCTTCAAGCAATATGGTAGACCCACAAATAATTGACCACTCCATGAAACTGCAATAGCAGGGGCTTGTTGTTTTCTACACCTATTTGCAGTATGCAAAGGTTTAAACAGTGAGACAGAATGCATTCCTGTTGATTCTAGGAACAAACATTTAGGGTACATCTCAAGCATTTTCTTTCAATAAAGGCAGCAATCCATTACTCTTTGTAACACTACGTCCGTAGGACACTTGTGTATTTAAACAGGCCATACATTATCAGACTGCCAACTATTATATTCCACATGCAAGTTGATCTCTTCTCAGTTTTATATGAGATTCAATCATTGCAGGTGCCACAACTGTCACTAGCACTTCTTGAGCATTTTATGAAGTGCTACATACAGGGGTGGTATAGTTCCATGATTATGTCTAAAGAAAAGAAAAACACTGGTAAAGCAAATCCAATGACAAGGTTGAGAATTCATTTACAAGTAATAACTACATGTCACTCGAAAGAATGCCTTTGAGACCCTGGAAATTCAAGCAATTGTGATGTTAAATTACAAGCAGACCATCACATTCCATGATGGTAACTAAAACTTGCCACTTTCCCTCAAAATCCAAAGATTGTTAGTACAAGCAATTGCCTTGGGTGGGAATGAATGAATGATACACGCACCCTAATTACTGAAGTTATTAGACCTTGTATGGTGCTTTGTTAGATAAGCCCATTTGAGGGGCATGGAAAACTTAAAAAGCATGTTGTGGCAAAATGAAGATTGAACTGCCTGTTTCTTTACAAAAAGCCCACTTCTCTGTACTGTAAATCAACCTTTTTTGCAAAGAAAAGAAGTAACCATCTCAATTTAAATCTAAAAAGGAGATGGTTCAAATATTAAAGTAATTGGATTCCAACAGACTTTATTAAGCAACTTCTACACACAATGTTTTTCACACACTAAAGGGCACAAACATGCTATTAAAGGACTCAACACTTCATTTACAACCAAAAAAATAATACCACTATAGACTACATTATACAAGCTTAAAATACAGATTAAATCATTTATTAGAAAAAATGTAAATAAAAACACTTTCATCAACCAAAACAAAACGCATCAGAAACATCAAGCATAAAGAAACAACTCACCACAGTTCCATTGACCCTTGGATTGGAAAAATGCCTCATCGCGACCAACACAAGAAGAATGGTAAGCCTTTGGGCATCCTCTGAAAAGAAACAAAAGACAAATATCAACAAAAAGAGCAAAGTACTGTGACAACAAAATTAGCACAGCCAAAAAAGATATGGCAATGAATATGAGAACTGATTTGGTATCTGCACCTGCGGTCACAGAGCACAAGGTCCCCACCATCAAAGCAGATGAAACAAACATCCTCCCCCACCTTCTTCCTTGAAGGAGCCCTTCCGGGAGCCTTAGAATTCTTACCCCGCTTCCTCTTGGCACCGGGCCCACCGCTGGTTTTACTCACTTCCTCCACCTCCTTTGCTTCCTCCATCTCTTCTGCAACCTCTGTCTCTAAGCCCTCCATAAGGTCAGTCATCTCAGTGTCATCAGCTGTTTCAGTCTCTGCAACATCAACCTCATCAGTCTCAGTCTCTTCTACCTTCTCATCCTCGTCTACTGAATTAGCCGTCTCTCTATCATCTTCCTTCTCAGTTTCTTCTCCCATCTCAGTATCATCTGCCTCCTCAGCAATGTCTGTTTCCAATGCCACTTTCCCTTCCCTCAACACATTAGTCTCCTCCAGAAATCCGGTTTGCTGTGACACATCAGGCAACTCTTCTTCTTCCATAATTTCCTTTTTCTCATCAATATTAACTAACCCTCTTTGTTCTGGGTCTTCTGACTTCTCTGCCAAGTAAGCCGCCTGTTTCTCCCCTAGTATGTCCCTTTGTTCAGTAATGTCAGCATCCCCTTTTCCCTCTGACAAAGCAGTTTGCATTTGCTCCACCATATCAGCCACCTCATTTTCCTCAGCAAATCCTCCTCCATCCAACTTCATGTCTACCTCTGTTTCCTCCGGAATTTCAGCATGTTTATTCACCTCTAAAACC